CGTTTTCATAAAATTTTCACATAATAATAATAATAAATTTATACATTGAACGAACATATGTTTCCTATTTTTCGTTTTTTAACAATGGTCTTAAGAATATTTTGATTGTAAGGTACAATTAAAGGATATGTTTATGAGTTGGACAAAAGACAAACTGCAGAATCAACTTTGAAATGCCAAGGATTAAGTACAGATCCTCTTAATTACCATGGAAATCCTCTTGCCATCTACAAGTGCAAAGAGATAGAAGAATGAAACCTATCAGCTGCATCACATTCATCGAACACATGACGTGCATACCTGATACCTTCAGCAACTCATTCTCGAGCTCTTCCAGTAATGGTGGAGGAGCGAGTCCGAGCTGGAGAGGGCGGGCACGCGTTGCCGCCGCCACCGTTCCGATGGCACGAACACGTGCCCTGCTTCTCCAGCACGGCTCGCCCTCCCCTTCTCCCGCTCTAACCCCATTTCTGGGTAAGTGCATCAACACATGACAGTACCTCACTGCTACCGTGAGTATATGACCTGAAAACATGGCGTCTCGTGTTGGTTGTCGTCAGAGTTTAGGCTGCCGGAAAGGCTTTGGTTGATGAGAAGTTATGGCTGACGGTGTAATTGGGAAAGACCCCAGGGCTGTCTACCTAAGCACCTACCTCCATGGCCGCTGGATCAATGGCAGACCACCCACCACTGGTTGTCGAGGGAAACCCTCGGAGGAGAAGTGGGATCGATCACGGGAGACACATGGACTTGGTTGAGGTTGCTGCGTACATCTCCAGCCTACCGATCCCTTCAGCTGTGGACGCCATTGCTGATGACGAACAGCATGGACTTAGAACCATTTAAGCGCCAACACGCTGCGCCGTCCTCGGCCGTATCTTAATGGTGCATGCCGTGATGAACTCGTCATGGGTTGAGAGGATTTGGCTTGCTTTGACGCAGTACGAATCAGCGGTGGCCAAATGACTTGGATGATTACTGATTTAGAGGATAAGGAATCAGTGGCGGCCAAATTACTTGGATGATTACTTAGTTAGAGGATAAGGAATTGACGAATAGAAAAACTCCTGCATGGAAGAAAAAAAAAATATATCTAAAATTTCAAAATATACTATTTTATGTATATTAAAATTTTAATGAGAAGATATAAAAGTAAATTACAGTGATAAAGATAAGATTTCCTCAACTATACGAGGAAATCTCTCTATTCAGGAAAATTCTTCGTTCGGAAATTTTTTCTCCTGATTTGTAGAAATATGAGAGAGACATGTTAATGTATTTAAACTTTTTCACTTGGTATTAAAACAGTGGAAAAAGCGAAGCTTCGCTCTTACCTTCGGCCAGCAACCAATGCCACTGAGAATTGATATCTTCTTGGAAGAAATGTCTCACACAATATTAAGAACAATCGTCGTACTTGTAGCGTGTTAGGGTAATTCCTTCCTGTCTCTTACCTTTTTTGATAGGAAGATAATTTGTTAGATTTTCATATCTACTGATGGATGACTTGTCAATCATTTGGTGAGGTGAATTATTTGAGGATTTTATACCTATAAATATAAAACTATGTGTATAGTTTGGTGTTTTCTAAGGTTGAGGAGACTTTGCTGCTCATCTCAGGAAGCGAGTAGAAGAAGAAAACCCAACACGCCAAAGAGGGTGATCAAACGTCACGGACATGATCTTGATCTTGACACGTATGCCTTTCTTCCATTATCCTCTCATTGGCCGCAAAGCAACAAATCGATTGAGCCCACACAACAAGACGAGCAAGCTGTCCGCTGTTCGCCACCAGACGACAAGCCTGCAGAACCCAACACGTGTCCTGGTCCCTCCCCCCCTTCCCCCGGCGAGTGTGACTCGGCTGTGACGTTGACGATATTAATAAATCACCCGAAACTCCATCGCCACGAAGTTAATATCCGGACAACCGAGCGGCGGTGGATCCGTGCTCGACTGTTCTTCCCGAGCCAAGAAACAGTTCTTTTCCGGACAACAATTGAAGTCATGGTGGACCCCAGCATTGGCAGAGAGTTTGCGACCTCGAGCGAGGATGTCCCGTGCTCCGTGTGAGACAGGAGATCAACCAAGCTCGGCGCCACACTGACGTGGACCGCCTGGCACCCGCACCAAACGACGGCGGCACCTGCACACCGTCGTCCCACGCAACCCTAAGTCCTGTGGGACCCACTTGGAGATCCACCGGATCGCGCGACCTCCGTCGTCCACGATTCCGATTCCCAGCATCGGCGAGGCATCTTCCTCGGCATGTACTCCCAGCATCTCCGCATCACATCGGTCCCTATCCAACGGCCCTGATCTGGTGTCTCTCCTCTATATACCCCTCGCCCCTGTGTGCTTCTCGCTGCAGCTCGGAGGGCGAGTCGAGAAAAGAACTCTTCCCATAATACACACCCATCCTTCGTTTTGTCCCGAAATGGACGTGCTCGATGTGCCGCCGCTCGAGGCGGTGGCGTTCCGCCTCTACTCCCTCCCCGGCGCCGCCGCAGGCTCGGTGTGGGCGTGGGCCGCCGTCCTCGCCGCGGCGCTCGGCCTATGGGGCATCAGAATCGTCGGAACCAAGTCTGACGCCTCCCCCCGCTCCCACTCGGCTCCCCGCTCCTCTTCCCCCCCGCAGCCTGCCATCCCCGGTCCCGCCGTCCCCGCGGAGCCGGCCAAGCCGCAGGCGGATCCGACCAATCGCGAGGACTACAGGCCGATCGCGCGGCCTACCGGATGCCGCGTGGAGGAAGCCAGCGCGACCAAGGCCCGGTTCACGGCCTACTACCACGGCGCCTCCTGCAACGGCTGCGGCGCGGTGGAGGAGGACGAATGCCACGAGGGGGAGGATGGCGGCGCTCGCGGCGTCGAGTGCGGGGTAGCGGCGCCATGGAATCAAGGGTGGCGGTGGGAGGGGCTGACGGTGCGGCGGCGGTGGGACTTGGGATGGTATCGTTACCAGGATATGACGGCGCTTAACGGAAGCGTGGTGAGGTTGTGGGATGGGGCAGACGGCGGCTTGACGGCGAGGCGACGGCCGCCGCAAAATCCAATTTAGTGGGGAATACAATTTTGTGAGATGTGTAAATGTCTCTGCCATCAGTAAAAGTACAATTTTGCCCTCTCATTGATCAGAAAACGAGATTGGCGACCTTCTCATTCAATTCTTGCATTCGAGGTCATTTAAGACTTTTGAGAGCAGTGTGTCACACTCTTACGGTTCTTTGATGGTTCACTTGCTCATTCAGCTAAAGATCCAAGGAATAAACATATGCCAGAATGAATTAGTCAAAACAAAGTGTAGTTGGTTGATATATATAATAAGCTTTTGATAGCCAATAAGACTTAAAATACTTGTATTATGCCAAGTTGGATTTATGAGGATTTCATCTATGAGATCATCCTATGATTTAGATATGGTCAAAAGTATTGAGAAGTTGTTGGGTAATCATATATCTTTGCAGTACAGTCCCTCTCATGAAGCTAATGTGGCTTAGATTGGAGTTTAGCATAGAAAAGTTATGCTTGGCATTGAATTCTTTTTACTTATGAAAGTGTCAACAGGCCAATTTACCTATTTAGAAGCGTTTTTCTTTAACATATCCTTGTAAAATATAGGAGATATAGGGATGATTTAATACATAATTAAGAAATCATATGTTTAAAAATAAATAATATTATCTAATTGAAAAGTAAGTTGAAGAAAAACAGCAAGTATTATTGGCAAAGGTAAGATTTAAATTGGAGATCTTATGATAAACTGTTAAAGTTTTTATCAATTAGGCCATCTAATTATTATAAAATATTGGATAATATTTTAAACTCTCAAATTTTATTGAGTGGATCTGGTACCTCATTGCTAGAGTAGTATTTTAGGTGTAGCAACATATATGTTAAATTGCTTGTACATTCAAATTAATTATCTTAATAATTGAGTTTTTTTTTACACCGGAAAGGTATAATGACACATTAGCACCAACCTAACCTTATGTTTGGTGACTGCAGCAATTATTAGGCCATTTTTAATGCTCACCAAAACAAACCAGTGTTCCTCACTCTTTCTGGCCACTGTCATCCTGTGAGAAGAGGGAGGAAGACAGTGAATAAGTGCATCATTTACACTTTTTTTTTTGTTTTCTGGTTAGAATCTAATAGCCTATAAAGCAATAAAACAAAGAGAAGAAATGATGAAATGTAGGATGTTCTTCTTATAGATCAGTGCAAGTTGATATAGAACATCCTAATAACATATTTCAATTCTCAAACACTAAAGACACCAAGTAATTTTTGTTCAATCTCCCAAGACTAATACATTTAACTAGTTTAAGATACTTTTTATCTACATAAATGCCTTAGGATAATGTATAATTTAGGTGTTTCCATAAGGTGTTCAATCCCATTTTTCATCTTCAGTATTTATAAATCTCAATCCTAGTGCAAATTGTGCCCAAGTGCTTAGTCCAAATGACTTTGTGGTGGTCCTCCTCTTCATTAGCATACATTAATGCTTGGTTTATTTGGTGCCAAATCCCTGCTTACTGCAATTTAGAGGATCACATCCCTGCAATATATAATATAGTTTTCATAATTAAGCAAGAGAAAGGTACCACAATAACCTACTCTACTCAGGGAAAATATAGTTTTATCAAACTTAGAGCTAAGAATTATCTATGGGGCAGTTATCAATTAAAGAATTGTTACTGCTTCAGTACCTTTGCCATTAAATATAAGGGGAGCATGATAATTGACATGTCAACAATTATTTGTGCAGAGTCTTCTTGATTAAGGAACTAATGCAGAGATTTGGAACCATCCAAGTGTAGATTCAATATTTAGCTCACTAATATCTAATAATATAATTAATCACCATGTGTTACATGAGGTTTTGTACTTGTGTAATATTGAAAATGGATTAGCACATATTATGTGATAACTTCTTGATGATAGATCTAGTGGGATGGATCTGATAAAACTGACCCAGACAGCATAAGCCATTAGCAGTGTCTGAGAAAAGACTATTTGGTGACATTTTATAAGGCTGATTTCCTCTATCATTAACAAAGTTAATTCACCAAACTAAAGGACTAAGTGTAATAGATTATTATGTCTTGTTATTTGAAACTGGGAAGCTTTATTTTTTCTTCCCTTTTCTGAAATGTTTTGGGATATAATTTGGGGAATCTGTGTGTTTTAAGATGTTGCACTTTTTTATTTAAATCAGTAAAAGAATGAAAAGTAATTTTGTAATAATAATATATCTATTATCCACACAAAACTATCACACAACCACAATTTCAGCTACACAGCAAGCTTGCTGTTTGCAAGTGTCACTAAGCTTTAACCTGGAGTTCCAATGTCAGCTATGTGCATTTGTGCCAGTGGATTCACAGGCTCAACTGAGTCTAACAAAAAGAAGGAAAGATTCTGTCGACTCTGAAGACAGACAGACAAATAATCCAAAAGGTAGACTAATCACAAATACAAAACAACAACACTAATTAGACCAGACCATGTTTCAGCAATCATTAGTTCCACAAAAGCTGTTGTTTGTGATCTTGAAGACAAGCCAGATCTGGAGTGAACCAGTATGTATCCATACTAGTATTTATCTAGAGATCTCAGTCAACTCTTCCTTTAATCAAATAGCACACAAGGATGAACATGTAATCCCTTCACACCATGTTTCTTGCCTGTTTTTGGTGCATTTCAACTAATGTTTTCCTTGTCAACTTTCTTAAGATGTTCAAGTCCACAAGCAAAGCATAATCTCAAGTTTTGGTGCAACAAAATTTAGATAGCAAGCATTCCATTGAACAGAAGACCCACCGCTTAATTCACAAGCACAAAGATTACAAACAGAAGGAGGGGACAAAGCCAAGTGGGGGAAATGATTGCATAGGTCCATGCTGTGCCCTCCATGGCTCAAAAGTCTCCTACAAACTTTTTCCTGACTCCTTCCACTGCTTTCTTATAGCTACAAAAACCTGCATCATATGCACAGATCAAGATACAAACAAAGGTGACGGCAACTCCTTGTCTGCGACTGTCTTCTTCTTCTCTTAGCTTTCCTAGCAAGCTTTCTCCCCCATCTCACTTTCATCTGTCTAGAGAACTTATCACCACCCTGCAAACCATGTTTCTTCCGGTAATTACAATTGCGCAAGCGTAAAAAGACAGTCTTTTGCGTTCCAGTGGCCCTAAATATGAATGAAATCACTAAAAGCAGAGCCTTTTTATCACCAAAAAATATGAGTTAGGGTTTCCTGGCACCAAGATTTGGGACGAACCAGTCATAGACGGTGGGGCTTCTCGGCTCGGCCATCCCCGCTCCCTCAGCCACCGGCACCGGTTTTCTCCGCAACCGCTTCCAGTCTCCCCACGGCCCCGGCGCTGCCAAAGAAGTAGTTCAAACAAGGGGAAAAAAACTCGTTCTTGTCAGCTCCGCTCGCGAAACCTCTAGAAGAGAAAAAGGAGGGGCGGGAAAAGGAGGAGCAAGTTACGCGCGAGGGGGGAGTCCGGGGCGCTGGCCGGCGAGGAGGGAGAGCGGGGAGAGGTGGCGGCGGAGGAGGACGCGGTGCGCAGGATGGTGACGCTGCGGGTGACCTGAGCAACGCCGCCAGCGGCGGCGGAAGAAGCAGCAGCGGAGGATGAAGGGGAAAAGGAGTTGTACTTGCGGAGCTTGCCGACGGGCGGAGGCCCGGCGACGGTGTCGTCCCACAGTTGGTCGAGAAGACCCATTTGATCCTTGGATGGAAGATAGAGAGGGCTCCAAGGAGAGGCCTTTCCGTTGCTGTTAGTATTACTATGTTTCCAGAGGAGGAGAGGAGGCTCGGGGGTTCGGTAGTTATAGCAGCGGATGGGGTTGTATTTGTTTCGGATAAGCTCATATTTTCCCGTCTTTTTTATTTTTTCTTTTTTTAGGCGGTAATAAATGTTAATAGAAAAGATAGAAGGGTTTAATTTCTTGACTAATTAAATATTCATATTGATTTGAATATATATATATATATATATATATATATATATTTATATTTATATTTACATCCGTGCTTATCCATCGATTACTGATATGGGTTGAATAAGTTTTGTTGACTTTAGTATTCAAGAAATATGCTACTTGATTTTATGATTTTATACCTAAATTTTAATTTAAAGTTGAAATTTTGAGGTGGATGTTTGGAAATAAGTGAGGAAAAGGAGGCGGCTTCCGAGATGATGGCCAACCTCATGCAGATCATGACGTGTCGGAATGATTCTTGCTGGGAGATTTCGATTGGGCTGGGGCCCACCGATCCAGTGACGTGGGGCCCACAAGATGGAGAACACCGCCCCCCCGGGGGGTATGTGGTGTTCCGTCAATAATGTACGGCATACGGGCGGGCAATCATCCAACGGCTGGTGGGACTCCTCCGGCGAGGGGACCGGGTCACGGTGGGTCCCATTCCGGACGGACGACGAGGTGAAAGAAAACGAAAAAAGTAATAATGACGTGATATATGGGGGTCCGCATCATCAGCGGGGGCGTACCGCGTCTGAGCCGCGACACCACCGTGACCGGGGGGGCGGCCGTCTCCGGCCTTCCAGAATCGCCTGGCAGCCTCACAGCGTGTCGTGTCACGTCACCTTGCCCCGTCGCGGGAAAGCTGTCCCCTCCGTTCCCTGTGCTGATGTCATCACAACCTTTTCCCCTTCTGCAGACGCAAACTAATTCTTAGTCAGATACTCAAAAGTATTCTTATTTATATCACAGTCGAAACATGCATTTATATCTTAAATTTATTAATTTAATTAAATAATTATCTTATCGGATCAAATTATAAAAAATAATATCACATCTTATTTAAGAGTAGACGTCATGAGAAGTCAAAACAGTGGACTAATATGTATCATGAAAGGATTTGATTTTGATTATATTTATTATTGATAAAAAATATTATACTTTTAAATAAAAATTATAATAATTATGAGCTTTGTTTTGTATTAATTTGATAAGTTTATTATTGTTAACTTCATCTTAAAATTTGAAGTCATAGCAATGCATTGTGAAAAATAATAAATGCTGTCTGATGCATGAAAATGTGTTTTATATATATATATATATATATATATATATATATATATATATATATATATATATATATATATATATATATATATATATATA